TGAGGACTCATATGACTATTGTATGTGACTCAGCAGTAGACTATTTGTTTTACAACACTTGTGTGTGTTTATCATGGTTTATGAGGACATTATTCAGTTATGAGACTCATATGACTATTGTATGTGAACTCAGCAGTAGACTATTGTTTTACAACACTTGTGTGTGTTTACTCATGGTTTATGAGGACATTATTCAGTTTATGAGGACTCATTTGACTATTGTATTGACTCAGCAGTAGACTATTGTTTTTACAACACTTGTGTGTGTTTAATCATGGTTTATGAGGACATTATTCAGTTTATGAGGACTCATATGACTATTGTATGTGACTCAGCAGTAGACTATTGTTTTAAACACTTGTGTGTGTTTACTCATGGTTTATGAGGACATTATTCAGTTTATGAGGACTCATTTCACTATTGTATGTGACTCAGCAGTAGACTATTGTTTTACAACACTTGTGGTGTTTACTCATGTTTATGAGGACATTATTCAGGTTATGAGGACTCATTTGACTATTGTATGTGACTCAGCAGTAGACTATTGTTTTTACAACACTTGTGTGTGTTTACTCATGGTTTATGAGGACATTATTCGGTTTTATGAGGACTCATTTGACTATTGTATGTGACTCAGCAGTAGACTATTGTTTTACAACACTTGTGTGTGTTAATCATGTTTATGAGGACATTATTCAGTTTATGAGGACTCATATGACTATTGTATGTGACTCAGCAGTAGACTATTGTTTTACAACACTTGTGTGTGTTTAATCATGGTTTATGAGGACATTATTCGGTTTAATGAGGACTCATTTGACTATTGTATGTGACTCAGCAGTAGACTATTGTTTTACAACACTTGTGTGTGTTTACTCATGGTTTATGAGGACATTATTCAGTTTATGAGGACTCATATGACTATTGTATGTGACTCAGCAGTAGACTATTGTTTTACAACACTTGTGTGTGTTTACTCATGTTTATGAGGACATTATTCAGTTTATGAGGACTCATTTGACTATTGTATGTGACTCGCAGTAGACTATTGTTTTACAACACTTGTGTGTGTTATCATGGTTTATGAGGACATTATTCAGTTTATGAGGACTCATTGACTATTGTATGTGACTCAGCAGTAGACTATTGTTTTACAACACTTGTGTGTGTTTACTCATGGTTTATGAGGACATTATTCGGTTTATGAGGACTCATTTGACTATTGTATGTGACTCAGCAGTAGACTATTGTTTTACAACACTTGTGTGTTTTAATCATGTTTATGAGGACATTATTCGGTTTAATGAGGACTCATTTTGACTATTGTATGTGACTCAGCAGTAGACTATTGTTTTACAACACTTGTGTGTGTTTACTCATGGTTTATGAGGACATTATTCAGTTTATGAGGACTCATATGACTATTGTATGTGACTCAGCAGTAGACTATTGTTTTACAACACTTGTGTTGTTTACTCATGGTTTATGAGGACATTATTCAGTTTATGAGGACTCATATGACTATTGTATGTGACTCAGCAGTAGACTATTGTTTTACAACACTTGTGTGTGTTTACTCATGGTTTATGAGGACATTATTCAGTTTATGAGGACTCATATGACTATTGTATGTGACTCAGCAGTAGACTATTGTTTTACAACACTTGTGTGTGTTTACTCATGGTTTATGAGGACATTATTCAGTTTATGAGGACTCATATGACTATTGTATGTGACTCAGCAGTAGACTATTGTTTTACAACACTTGTGTGTGTTTACTCATGGTTTATGAGGACATTATTCAGTTTATGAGGACTCATTTGACTATTGTATGAGACTCAGCAGTAGACTATTGTTTTACAACACTTGTGTGTGTTTAATCATGGTTTATGAGGACATTATTCAGTTTATGAGGACTCATATGACTATTGTATGTGACTCAGCAGTAGACTATTGTTTTACAACACTTGTGTGTGTTTACTCATGGTTTATGAGGACATTATTCAGTTTATGAGGACTCATTTGACTATTGTATGTGACTCAGCAGTAGACTATTGTTTTACAACACTTGTGTGTGTTTACTCATGGTTTATGAGGACATTATTCAGTTTATGAGGACTCATATGACTATTGTATGTGACTCAGCAGTAGACTATTGTTTTACAACACTTGTGTGTGTTTACTCATGGTTTATGAGGACATTATTCGGTTTGAGGACTCAAATGACTATTGTATGTGACTCAGCAGTAGACTATTGTTTTACAAGACTTGTGTCTATTTATGGTCCGTTCATGTGCTATCGTAATTATGGTAAATACCAAAAGCCGACGTGGAAAATGCACATGAACACCCCCTCATGTGGTATTTACCACTGGGCAACTCGTAGAATATTTTAATGGACAAGTTGCCGAGATGAAAATAACCTTTGACCATTTCAAAATGGCGGAGAACACCGCGAGAGTCGTGAATGGTAAAAAAATATATACTATTCATGATCTAGAAAATATACAGCATATTATTTACCTTTTGAGTTTTGATAAATCATTTTCTTGCTGTTGCAGATGATTTAAGCAATCTAATATAGTTTTAGCTAAATATCAGGTCTGGATCTCCATCTTTTTACCACATTACGACAACAAAAGTACTTGAACGCAACACACTGGTAAATACCAGTTCACACGTGGAAAATATCCTATTTTCCATAGCACGTGAACGCAGCATTACTCATGGTAGAGTTAACACACACAAGTGTTTTTAACAATAGTGTACCACTAAATCACATTTCGTAGCAATGAAATAATTTCAATTCAGATCATGTTATAAGGCGTGTGAAACTTAATTGTGAAAAGTATTAACAAACCTCTTCAGGAGATGTGACTTCACTTCTTGTCAAGGCTGGAGTGACAGGCTCATGGACAAACTGGAAGACAGAAACAAGGAGAAAGGAGCTATAATGTGACTCAGCAGTAGACTATTGTTTTACAACACTTGTGTGTGTTTACTCATGGTTTATGAGGACATTATTAGGTTTATGAGGACTCATATGACTATTGTATGTGACTCAGCAGTAGACTATTGTTTTACAACACTTGTGTGTGTGTATTCATGGTTTATGAGGACATTATTCGGTTTATGAGGACTCATTTGACTATTGTATATGACTCAGCAGTAGACTATTGTTTTACAACACTTGTGTGTGTTTAATCATGGTTTATGAGGACATTATTCAGTTTATGAGGACTCATATGACTATTGTATGTGACTCAGCAGTAGACTATTGTTTTATAACACTTGTGTGTGTTTACTCATGGTTTATGAGGACATTATTCGGTTTATGAGGACTCATATGACTATTGTATGTGACTCAGCAGTAGACTATTGTTTTACAACACTTGTGTGTGTTTACTCATGGTTTATGAGGACATTATTCGGTTTGAGGACTCAAATGACTATTGTATGTGACTCAGCAGTAGACTATTGTTTTACAAGACTTGTGTGTATTTATGCTGCGTTCATGTGCTATCGTAATTATGGTAAATACCAAAAGCCGACGTGGAAAATGCACATGAACACCCCCTTATGTGGTATTTACCACTGGGCAACTCGTAGAATATTTTAATGGACAAGTTGCCGAGATGAAAATAACCTTTGACCATTTCAAAATGGCGGAGAACACCGCGAGAGTCGTGAATGGTAAAAAAATATATACTATTCATGATCTAGAAAATATTCAGCATATTATTTACCTTTTGAGTTTTGATAAATCATTTTCTTGCTGTTGCAGATGATTTAAGCAATCTAATATAGTTTTAGCTAAATATCAGGTCTGGATCTCCATCTTTTTACCACATTACGACAACAAAAGTACTTGAACGCAACACACTGGTAAATACCAGTTCACAAGTGGAAAATATCCTATTTTCCATAGCACGTGAACGCAGCATTACTCATGGTAGAGTTAACACACACAAGTGTTTTTAACAATAGTGTACCACTAAATCACATTTCGTAGCAATGACATAATTTCAATTCAGATCATGTTATAAGGCGTGTGAAACTTAATTGTGAAAAGTATTAACAAACCTCTTCAGGAGATGTGACTTCACTTCCTGTCAAGGCTGGAGTGACAGGCTCATGGACAAACTGGAAGACAGAAACAAGGAGAAAGGAGCTATAATGTGACTCAGCAGTAGACTATTGTTTTACAACACTGGTGTGTGTTTACTCATGGTTTATGAGGACATTATTCAGTTTATGAGGACTCATATGACTATTGTATGTGACTCAGCAGTAGACTATTGTTTTACAACACTTGTGTGTGTTTAATCATGGTTTATGAGGACATTATTCGGTTTATGAGGACTCATATGACTATTTTATGAGACTCATAGTTGACTATTGTTTTACAACACTTGTGTGTGTTTACTCATGGTTTATGAGGACATTATTCAGTTTATGAGGACTCATTTCACTATTGTATGTGACTTAGCAGTAGACTATTGTTTTACAAGACTTGTGTCTATTTATGCTGCGTTCATGTGCTATGGTAATTATGGTAAATACCAAAAGCCGACGTGGAAAATACACATGAACACCCCCTCATGTGGTATTTACCACTGGGCAACTCGTAGAATATTTTAATGGACAAGTTGCCGAGATGAAAATAACCTTTGACCATTTCAAAATGGCGGAGAACACCGCGAGAGTCGTGAATGGTAAAAAAATATATACTATTCATGATCTAGAAAATATGCAGCATATTATTTACCTTTTGAGTTTTGATAAATCATTTTCTTGCTGTTGCAGATGATTTAAGCAATCTAATATAGTTTTAGCTAAATATCAGGTCTGGATCTCCATCTTTTTACCACATTACGACAACAAAAGTACTTGAACGCAACACACTGGTAAATACCAGTTCACACGTGGAAAATATCCTATTTTCCATAGCACGTGAACGCAGCATTACTCATGGTAGAGTTAACACACACAAGTGTTTTTAACAATAGTGTACCACTAAATCACATTTCGTAGCAATAACATAATTTCAATTCAGATCATGTTATAAGGCGTGTGAAACTTAATTGTGAAAAGTATTAACAAACCTCTTCAGGTGATGTGACTTCACTTCTTGTCAAGGCTGGAGTGACAGGCTCATGGACAAACTGGAAGACAGAAACAAGGAGAAAGGAGCTATAATGTGACTCAGCAGTAGACTATTGTTTTACAACACTTGTGTGTGTTTAATCATGGTTTATGAGGACATTATTCAGTTTATGAGGACTCATTTGACTATTGTATGTGACTCAGCAGTAGACTATTGTTTTACAACACTTGTGTGTTTTTAACAATAGTTTACAGCTAAAATCACATTTAGTAGCAATAACATAATTTCACGTCAGATCATGTTATAAGGCGTGTGAAACTTAATTGTGAAAAGTATTAACAAACCTCTTTAGGAGATGTGACTTCACTTCCTGTCAAGGCTGGAGCGACAGGCTCATGGACAAACTGGAAGACAGAAAAAAATGTGAAGCAAGCAACTAGACGATGATAGTATCAATTTTTAAATAACATTTGGAAATATCTACCTCGCACGATTTCTGGCCATAGCGAGAACGCCATGGCAAGTCATGTCCTCCATAATCATAGGTTATCTCTTCACCATTATTGATGTCTTTATATTGAACAATAAACGAACCTCTCAATATAAATGTTGGGGCAAACACACCCCGACCTAAATGAAATAAAAATCAAGAAGAAACTGTTAAAAAAAATTTAAACTGCTGTATTTTCCAGTAGCACCTCAATGCAGAACATGAGATCCACGGGGAGGAGTCGGATCACGATCCAAGGGGTGGAGATGGGTAGGATTAGGGTTGGGTTTAGAGATCAGGGGGCGGAGTTGGTTGGTTAGGTTTAGGTGTATGTAAGGTGGGAGGAGTTGGATCTGGATCCGACTCCTCCCCGTGGATTTTATGTTCCGCAGTGAGCACCATCTCGTATTTTCCGCACTTAAAAGCATTTAATTTTCTCAAAAAACGAAAGTGTGTGTCTTCTTTGTGGTTAGTTCTAACACTTTGGTCAATTTTGAAATGTAATATACTCCATTACTAGATTTTCATTACTAGACATTGTATTTGTTGTTGTATTTATATATTAAATAATTGGTAACACTCTATTTGAAGGGGTGTGCTTAAGACTGACAAGACACTCATAAATATGACATAACACCTGTCATGAACATGTGTCTTTATGAATGTTTATGACTGTTGTCATTAAGTTTAATGCAAAGTTGACATTGTTTAAAATGTCTTTGTTATGACAACTTGACATTAACAAAGAAATCATAACAAATAAAAAAAAATAAAAAAGTGGAACACATTGTACTATTTATAAAGATGTCATTAAAGATTATTACACTGTCAAATGCTTTAACAACAGTGTCATTAATATTTCCCCTTACATCAAGTAAAGTGGAAAACGTTGGACTAGTTATGATTACTTGGTTTATGTCAAGTTGTCAAAACAAAGACATTTCTATCTTTATTAATGTCAAGTTGTCATAATCAAGACATTTTTGTCTTTGTTAATGTCAAGTTGTCATAACAAAGACATTTTAAACAATGTCAACTTTGCATTAAGAGTGTCATAATTTATCAAATGACACTTAATGACAACAGTCATAAACATTCATAAAGGCTCCTTCATGTTTACGACAGGTGTTATGTCATGTTTATGATAGTGTCATATCAGTCTTATAAACACCCCTTCAAATAAAGTGTTACCAAATAATTAATTTATCAATCAGATCAAAACATTTTACAATCCTACTAACCCTTTATTTAGATTTAAGAAAAATTCTTATTAATTTGGTGAGGAACATAGCTTTTTGAGCAGCATTTGCAGACCCCTGTAATGCTGTTTGCCATTAATGCTAACGATTAAACAATTAATTGATCGTTAATTTCAACGACGATCGATCATTGGAATTTGTGAAAATTGACATCCCTACCCCCTAGTCAAACAAACCGGGCTTTGGGGGTCAAACATGTTCGGGTACAGCTCAGATCATCTAGTGAGAGTACAATCTTCTTTGTGGTTAGTTCTAACACTTTGGTCAATTTTGAAATGTAATATACTCCATTACTAGATTTTACCATGCATGATGTTACACTGCACAAATTACAGACTGTATTTGGTTGAACATTGTTTATCTAGTATAATAGATGTTAACTAGGCCTAACTAATTAAGAGATAGGCTAAGGTTTATGGGAAAAAAAAGAAACTTACCTTTGACAGGATTTTTATATCTCCCGGTTATTATGTCTTTGTCTTTTCCCATTTTTATACTGCTCTCTGCATCTTTTAGAGGATTTGGAATCCGAATCACTACAAAATATGTCAAGTCAATCTTTACAGATAAACAGTTTAATATCAGTATTATATATAAATACAAAAATAAATTATAATAATAAAAACACGCATGTAAATAATTAAATTGCATAGGCCTACTGTATACAGAAATCTATGCTGCATATCATATTATTTAAAACATAGGGTTTATTAATTCACAATAGCATTAAGCTTTATTATAATGTTTAAATGTGTTTAACATATAACGCAGCCTTGTAAACCGTCTAATAATGCTTTTAATGTTTTTTCGTCCGTGAAATTCGCAGCAGTGGTTTGGGTGACAAAACGGCTCCAGCCTCAAGGCCGTGGCTCCCCGTGTTCTCGTGCACCTCAGCCGGCTAAACCTGCCATCTCTCCCGCTCACACCACCGCGACCGCACAGACAGCGACACTTGAATAACTTAGATTGTGCTTCTTCCGATGTCGATTTACTATAACGTATTATTTGAACTTTGATAAACTACCAAGTGAAGATATATATCGCAGAAATATTTTCTTATAAGACGAAATTACTTTTTAGCAGTGTGCTCAGCCCAAGGCCACTTTATTTCACAACGATATAATTTAAATAGTATTTTCTTGAATGATTACCACATTCGCTGCGATCTAAATCATGTTTGCGTCTCATAGCTGATTCTACAAGCAGTGCTCCTCTCACGCGCCATTACCACAGTTTAAGTGATTAAATTACAAATCATTTTGACAACTACAAATCATTTTGACAACTGAAACTAACTCTGAGGAATCGCGGATTTCATATTTATGAAAAAAATAAACAAAATATATTATCTTACTTACTATTTCACCGTAGATCCAGCAGCTGTGGTGTTCACTGAAGCGCTGCAAATCTTCTTTGACGTAAACTGCGTTAATTTGGCGCGAATATGTGTGTAATTTGGCGCCAATGTGTGTACCTTGCAATACTAAATCCCACCTACAGGGGCACTGTTCCGATTATACACAGACACATCATGGTTTAAGAGGACAGTGTTTGTAAAGGTTATAAAAAAGGTAGGGAGTGTCATAACACTGAAATAGAAACATTACTTAACAAAAGTAATAATAAAGAAAAGACACAAGCATTATTTTTTTTAATTAATATTAGAAGTCAATAATTATTACAATAAAAAATTTCAGAATTACGAGACCACTAAAAGTGGTCTCATAAACCAATTGGTCTTGTAATGCTGGTATGTAAACCTGAAAATTGGTCTCATAAACCACTTATGCCAACACACACACACACACACACACACACACACACACACACACACACACACACACACACACACACACACACACACATGTATATATATATAATATATATATATATATATATATATATATATATATATATATACTATATATATATATATAGTGTGTGTGTGTGTGTTTAAATGAATGTGCTTTTCCATAAAACCACGGATGTGTTTGATTAGTATGTCCTCTTCGATGAAGATTAGGCCTAACACATGACAGAACATGTTCTCGGGCATTTAACTTTTAACTTTTTCGGAGGAATTTTTAATATTGGTAGGTGTGACATTTATAGCTTTGAGACCCAGACCGGTCCCATAAAATGCTGCAAGCCTTTTTACAGCTTTATAAATATACACTTCATTTGCTTTTTTCATTACTGTTAGATTGAACAAGTCTGAAAAATGGTGCTTTGAGGGATTTGTTTCAGACACTGATGATTAGGATGTTAACACACAGCAGGAGCGTGAGGTGTGAGAGGTGGGTGAAAATCACTGTTAAGACCGAGGAGCACTAAATAATAGTGAACTTTGTTGCTAAAACCAGCCACATCAGTTTCCAGGTGGTGAATTATGAATCCCACATACGTATGAGCTTGTAACTGTAAATTCAGGCCAGGTTATGAGCTCAGTAAAGTCAGTTTGGATCTCCCACCAGATTAAGAAAAACGCCACAGCCTAGCCAATACAAAAAGATTGAACCAATTTAATTATTTCTTCACTATTGACAGTTCTTGTGTTTTTATAAGTTTGCAGTGGTCAGTGAAAGTGAGAAACTGTAAAATGACGACTCACTTCCTTATCTTTTTCACCACATTATGCATAAAAGAAAACATATGGGCATTAATGTTGGGTGAATCAGGTTAATCCGGGACAGAGGTAATGTGGAGCACATAAAACGATATACCCATCACAATACAAAAAGTTCACCAAAAATGTCCCACAATACCATAATTTAATCTTGACCTCAACAATGGGCTATATGCACGCATAAATTCCGCATTTGACGCAAGGATGCTCGTCCATTTCCGGTTGTGGAGATTAAAGCGGAGGAAAACCGAGGAAAACGGGGCATCCCTAATGCTTCACCGGAAATACCGCCGTGCATAGAGCCCATTGCAGTCATATAAGGAACTATCATGATTCATATGTGGTCCTTGCCTTTGTAACACATCCTTTATGAAATGAACTGAATGCCAGTACATCATATCATGTGCATGAAAGTTTTCACAAAATAAAACAGCTGTGAAACACCTCCTTTTGTTCTGTAGCTTCTCCTTGTTGGTGCTGCTGCACTTTTGAGTTGCAGCACTAGCATTGACCCACCAGTAAGAAACCTCACTTTAAACCTTGCATTGTGCAATTGTTGTTGTTTTTTTATTATTATCCTGTAAAAACCTCTAAAATCCTAAAACCAGGTTACATTAACAATGCTGTTTAGCATTTTCTTAGCTAATATAACAAAACTAAGATTATTTTAAAGAACACAACAGCCTCTGTGAATTAATTTGCAGAGAAATTCAACTTTATGGACTTTAGTTAAGCAGGTACAAATGACATTTGAACTTATAAAAACATTAGCAAGATGTTTCTTCAGAATTGTAAAAGCACAAAGCAATGCATTCTGTTATAACAGTAGAAAAATGTCAGCTTTGTCATTGTTTCATGTGATTGTAAGAACGGCTCTTTCACGTTTCCTCCTCTTTCTCCTCTTCTCTATAAAACGCTCTGTGGCATCAGCAAAGAACATCACGTCCTCTTTGCTCTCCATTTCACGCTGCAGGAACTGAAGACCAGCGCTGTTGAAACCCAGGACATCCTGAAAACACGGACAAGCAAGAACACACATGCTTAAACAATCTGAGAGGTGTGTTAGGGTTGCTAAATTCATCATGTTCACTGGCACTGAAAGCGGGACTTACCCTGATCTCTCGCACTTTAGAGATTGTGTTGGCCCGTAACTCATCAATAACTGACAGCAGCATCTGATTGCTGGTGATCTGACCAAAATTGACTCTAGGAAAATGAGAGAACAGTTAGTCAGGAGCAAAATCAAATGGGCCTGTTAATTGAGAAGACAAATCAACATGAATAAACGTAAATGAAATTTAAATAAACAGTAATGTGTTAATGCAATATCTACGGATGAGTACCTGAGCAGGAAGAAGAGGCAGCGGCACACTAGCTCCACCTCCAGGCCCTGCTTTACGTAACCGTTGAAGAGCTGCAGCAGATCCGGGACATAGGGAAACGGCAGCACCAGCAGAGACAACTCCAGCTCACTATTAACACAGAGAGATCAAGAGAATAACAGACTGACCCATAAAACATAACAGATGGGAAGATGCATGTGTTTTGAGTTAGAGTGCTTTTGCCTGGGCTGGTGAAGAGCTCTTACCTGGACCGAACCTTCTTCATCACTTCCAGAACATATCGAGAGGGCTGCAGAAATAAATGGAAATCATGGAAAATATGAGTGATGAATCTTGCATTTTAAGAACATTTTCAATTTAAAAATAATAATAGCTTTTATTGTGATGTATTATTAAAAACAACCCACTGATATCAAAATCATATTATTAAAATTATGTTATGGTCAACAACCGATAAATATATCATATTAAAATCTTTTATGTATGATTTTAGTTTTTGCAAGTGAATTCAGACATCACAACATTCAACAGTGTTATCAAATTATCCAATACATAACTTTTCAAAAATGATGCATATATATTGTGGACCTCTTATTATTAACCAAAATATGATAACCAAACAAAACACACACTCACAGAGATATTTCCAAAAGCCAAAAGGATGGGGTTCATTTTAGGGGGTGGTAACTGCAAAAAAGCAAAAATCAAACTAGTAATTCACCTGCATCGTTGGATTAAAATCCATATTTTATGGTATTTAACAAGTTCCAGTCCTAATCATGTGCAGAATAAAAGAGAACTTAAATTCAAATTAATGTAATTTAAGTGTGCTTTTCTCTAGAACACATCATACCTCCTTCCCTGCTGCTTCACAAGCGGCTCTGTGCTCCTCCAGCTTTTTACTTTCCTCTCTATAGAGCTCAACGGCCTCCATTATTCGCTCAGCCTATAGAAACAGAACACGAGTGTCATTTCTCCATTACTGAATTTAAAGAAGAGGAGCTGTACAGTTCTGCAGACTTACAGCTTTCACTGTCTCAATGGTTTTCTTCCCAGCAGGCTCTGCTTCTCCTTTAGTTTCTCCAGGAACCTGCAAGATACATAAGGAAACACTGAGACCTGGCAGAAACTTAGGTGACAGAACTGATCTCAAGGAGAGCCACTTACCACAGGTTCACCACCTTTAGCCAACGACTCCTCATATTCTGCTTCCCTCTCCTGAGGAGAAAAATAGTAGACAAGTCAGCGAATATATTCTAATGATGTACAGTTTTTTTTTTTTTTTTTTTTTTTTTTTTACAGATTTACTTTTAATGATGATATACTTGGGTTTTTTGGGAGAATGAAAATGCCAATAAAGTTTCTTCTGCTGTGCGGTAGGCATGTGCCGGTATCAAATTTTCATGCTGCGTTTTATTGATTGAGCTTTTATCACGGTATACAGTATTATCACAATATTGTATATTAATGCACTTGAAGCTGACAGAAGTCTACCAGAGCTGTAAAGGTAGATCTTAAGATCATTATTTAATTCCATAACAACCAAGCACTCACC